TCGCCCCCTCCCTTCTCTTCCAACCGGCCATTCGCGCTCGCCCCTCTCCGTGGACAGCCTTCCTCGCACTCTCACTACTGAGCTCCTGCCTCCGCGTCTTCGGTCTGCCCCCGGTCTGCCCCCCGCTTTCAGCAGACGCCAGTCTGGGCGCCAAGGGCCGAGCCCCCGGCTCGGCACCGGGATTCATCTCCTCTCACATAATGAAGGACTCACTCGTGCAACTGTTCCCTCTCTTTTCTGCAGGTCCAACTTTTTTCTGCAAAGACCAGGTCTTCCCCGTCAGCACACAGACATGCTGAAATACATACGTCATCTTTGGAAAAACCCAAAAACTAAAGTGAAGAAAGCCTTCCTCTGAGACTACCATCTCACACCTGCTACCGTTCTATTTCTCTGCTCCCACTGAGAGCAAAACATGCTGGAAGAGTTGTGTGCGTCTGTTCTTTCCAAACAGAGTTGCGCTCTTGCTGCCTGCTATTTCAAACACCTTTGTTGGATCATTTTCATCTTCCTGTTTCCTAAACATTAGAGGGGACCACAGCTTCGTCTTCAGTTCTTTTTCTCTCTGCTCCTTCAGGCCCCTGACTTTAAGGATTAAGTACAAACTAATTAGACTACCAGACATTGTATCTCTAGACTGGACTTAGTCCCTGAATTCTAGAATCATGTGCCCAACCGTCAACTTAACAGCTCTAAGATGTCTTAGCAAGCACTATAAACGTAGCAGTCTACCTCCACACTTCTTGACAACTCTGTTTTCAAAGTATATTCAGAATCCCATTACTACCCACCACCGGTTCTGCTGATGCCCTTCTAAAAGCCGCCATCATCTCATCTGGACTTCTGTAGTTAGCGCTCTAACTCTCTCTGCCCCTGTTCTGGCTCCCCCAAGTTTATTCTCTTCGCCGCAGGAGCAGTCAGAGTGCTCCTTCAAATACATAAGCAATCACTTCACTCCTTTGCTCAAAGCCTCCACTGGCTTACCACCTCACTCCAAATAAACCCCAAACTCTGTATCATGGTCTGCAGTGTCCGACCTGATCTTGAACCTCTCTGGATTCATCTCTGACCACTCTCTACCTCGTTCACTCCTACTCAGTGGCATGATTCTCCTTGCTGTTTCTTGAGTGCACCGAGTCTGCTTTACCTCCGTCCCTTACACTCACTGGCTCCGTCTTCCTGAGCTGCCCTCCCTTGGGCGGCTTGCTCCTGCATGCCTTTCAAACATCCGCTTCAGTCAACCTCGAAGAGGCCTGCCACGATCATTTCATCTAAAATGACAGTCCCCTATTGTCATCCTCCACCCTCTTGCCCTGGTTTATTTGTTTTCGCAGCACACATCAAGCCTTGACACCTACAGCCGCTGCCTTACTAGCTTTCTCTCGCCGCGCAAAGCCAGGAGAGGGCCTCGTTGTGGACAAAGTGTCCGCAGCGCCCTCCGGCAGAGTCCTACAGACAACAAGCACCCAACGCTGACGAGCGAGCAGGCCGGTGAGTGACGCCGCAGGAAACGCAGGGCGGCCGCCGCCCAAGCGCGACTGTCTCAGAAGAAAGAGGCTGGCTGGGCTCGGGGGCTCGGCCTGCCACCCCAGCTGCTTGGGAGGTCGAGGTGAGCGGCTTGCCGGAGTCTGTGAGTTCGAGGCCAGCCCGGCAGTTTGGCGAGGCCGTGTCTCTACAATACATAAAAAAAGCAGCTGGGCGTGGAAGCGTGTGCTTGTGGTCTGGGCTGCTTGGAGGGCTGAGGCGGAAGGATCGCCGGGGCCCAGCAGGCCAACTCCGGGTGGCCATGAGTATGCCACGACACTCCAGCTGGGTGGCAGAGTGAGACTCCAACTCAAAAAAAAAGAGAGAAAGAGGCTGCCAGCCATGGCGGCTCATGCCTGCAATCCCAGCACTTCGGAAGAACGAGGCAGGAAGACTGCTTGAGGCCAGGAGTTAGAGACCGGTCTGGGCAACGCAGTGAGACTTCATCTCTTAAAAACATGTAAAAATTAGCCAGGTGTGGTTGCCTAGGTCTGTAGTTCCAGCTACTTGGGAGGCTAAGGAGGAAGGACTGCTTGAGCCCAGAAGTTAGAGGTTGCAGTGAGTTATGATCATGCCACTGCACTCCGGTCGAGGGTGACAGAGAGAGAGGAGAGAGAGGAGCAAGAGAGAATGGGGGAAGAGGAAGAGGGGAGAAGGGAGAGAGGAAGACAGAGAGGAAGAGGGAGAAAGGAGGAAGGAAGGCAGGCAGGCTAAACTGAAAGAGTCTCATATCAAACATGCATTCTAGGTCTCTTCTGGAAATGTCACACTTTCCCCAAAGATCTACATTAGGCCCAGATTCAGAGTTCCACCCCCCTCCAGGTCAACTGGCACTTGCTTCGCAGATATGTCAATCAACAGATGTGTCACACTGGTCTTAAAGCCTGGGCAAGAAGGTAAAGAAACTGGGGGAAAATCCATCACTACTGCTCATTATAGTGATTTTTAAATTTGAAAGATAATCTTCAAATGACTATAATAGGCAGCAAAAAGCAGATAAGTAATAGAAAACCCTAGCCGAAACAGAATCAAAATATAACTCTTAAAATTTACCACCAACCCACCCCCCCAACACACCCCCCCAACACATACACATTCGTATATTTTTAAAACTGACTTGGTGGGATCTGCTCCTTTAAAGTAGGCATTAACAGATTCTGTAAGGGCAACTGCCACGGGTAAGGTGTCCTGATTTCCAAGGCTGACAGGGCTGGGACCCCGTGATACACCTAGAATACACAGAAATCATCTGTTAAATCTTCCAGAAGGCCATACATTAAAGACCAAGACAGACTCACAATGTTAGGCTGTCACAAGTTATCCCACGACTGGTTTCAGTGACGCTCAGGCTAAGAAACACAGCATATAACAAACTGGAACACAAAGGACAAAGTCCAGGGAGACATATCATATAGCTTTTCTTTAAACGGAAAGACAGAGTGGCTAAGGAATGTCAGAATAAAAAAGTCCTTGACTTGAAAAGCTAAAAGTGATGAAAACATGGCTTCAAAAGCATGAGAAACCAAATTCTTTCGGGCTCTATCAATCACATACTTCAGGGCATTAAACTGGATTTTTGTATATAAGTTATTTCTATCTGAGCAACAGTGTTTCATATGTTACTCATTATTATTATAATTCCCTTTAACCTCTTTGTCTGATGCTTGAATTATAGTCCCACCTTATTGTGTTGCAATAAATATTTGACTAATGACATTACCTATTAAAAAAAGAAAAAAACTAATAACCTACATCAACAGTTCTCTCTGAAATTTGAATGTACGCTTTCTTATATAAGTGTAACAGAAAAAACAGTCATCAGCTATTTTTATTTCAGATGTCTCTATAGCGAAAGACTAAGTTACTTTTGAGATACCTGAAGGAATAAGTAATTCTGACAAAAATCAGTACTGGCTGCTTCCTCTGCCTAACAAAACCTGAGATCCTACAAACAGTGGAAAAGAGATTTTGTTAGCTTGGTAGTCTAGGATTTTTTTTTTCTTTTTGGTCTTGTTTTTGAGTCAGAGTTTCACTCTGCGGCCCAGGCTGGAGTGCAGAGGCCTGATCAGTGCTCGCTTTAGCCTCGTCCTCCTTGGGCTCTGGTGATCCTTCCACCTTAGCCTCCTGAGAAGCTGGGACGACAGGTGCATACCACAATGCCAGGCTAATACTCTTATTTCTGTAGAAATGAGGTCTTGCAATGTTGTTCAGGTTGGTCTCAAGCAATCCTCTTGCCTCAGCCTCCCAAAGTGATGGGGTTACAGGCATGAACCACCACATCTGGCAGTATTCTAGATTTTGAAGGAATTTTGATTTAGAAGGGTCTTCATACTTAGAAAAACAGCTCAGTGATGAAAAAAATACACAGGGACAAGGACTGTTGCTTCTAGGCCATTGGGGAAAGTAAATGCTCCATAAGGAGCTTAAAATTTCATGTGAAAATAAAGGACTTTATAATAAAAAATTATTCATAAAATCACAACAGCTACTACTTATTAACCACTAATATGTGCCAGGCACTTTGCTAAGAAGGCCTTTTTTAAAATGGTGCCTTTTTGAAGCATAAGTAGCAGCTCTGCAAAGCAGAAGCTAGGAAAAAAAGTGAGAGATGGACAAGAATTAAAAAAGGACATGCAGAGGAGATTGGAGAAGCGTTTATGACCTTTAATTTTACCCTCTGCCACCAGAAAATGCTAGCAACATCTAAGAGAAACACTACTGAGTCTTTTCTTTAGTACAATCAGTCTGAACACAGAGTAGGTCCCAGACTGAAAAGCAAATGGCACTGGCAGGCATCCCAGTTTGGGCCAGGTGAGAGTGGTTAGGTGAACGACATGGGCCTGGTCAAGAGGCACTAGTTTGGGGATGCGTGTGAGAAAATACTACGTGGAAAAGCAGACTAAGTATGAATTTAGTGATGACAGCTGTGCAAATACATGTCTGTGCACTAGAAGTTTTCGCTGCCAGCCTCAATCAGTTCAATGAACGTTTTTTCTAATACACTGCTCTAAACAAGAGGGCCATCAGAAATTCAGGAAAGCGTATTTTCAGAGAAAGAGAAAGGCGATCGTACGCTTGCCCCCAACTTCTGAACCGCGGCAAAGTAAACTCAGGGCTTACCGCCCTAACTGCCTTCAAGCGGGCGTGCAGTTCACGGCAGAGAAGACGCTGCCCGTGATGTGCGGCAGTCGGCAGTCGCCGTCGTTCACCTCCTTGCAAGACGGAAACCCTACAGCCACTAAACAATGACCCGCCCGCCTTCTGTCTTTGTGAGTTCGACCAAGTACCTCGAGTAAATGGAATCACACAGCATCTGACTTAGCACAATGTCCTCAAGGCTCGTTCAAACGCAGCAAATGGTCAGAAGGCCTTTCCTGTATGAGGCTGAATAATATTCCACCGTGTGTACAGGCCACATTTTACTATCCACTCCTAGGAGCTGTATCAGTGTGCATGCCCACCAAAAGCATACACGGGTTACAATTTCTCTACAGCCCCATCAACACCTGTTGTTGTTGTTACATATATATATAAGTTTTTTATTTTCAAGATGGGGGTGCAATTCAGGGTTAGGTATACAAATGTCCATTAGGCAGGTGCCCTTGCTGATGAGGTGTCCCCCTCCCCCACCCCCCGGCAGATTCTCACTACTGCCAATCCCTGCCTCCCCACACTGTTGTTATTCTTGGTATTTTTGAGTTGGGTCTCACTGTGGCCCAGGCTGGAGTGCACTGGCATGATCATGGCTCATCCCCGCCCCAAACTCCTGGGCTCAGGCAATTCTTCCATTTCAGCCTCCCCAGTAGCTGGGACTACAGGTGTGTGTCACCACACCTGGCAAATTTTTTAATTGTTTGTAGAGATGGGGGTCTCACTATGTTGCCCAGGCTGGTTTTGAACTCCTGGGCTCAAACAATTCTCCTGCCTTGGCCTCCCAAAGGGTTGGGATTACAAACAAGAGCCAGTGTGCCCAGCCAGTGTTATAATAATAATATTTTTAAAAATAAAAGTATATTCTCTTAAATATAAAGTCAGTATGTTCCCTTGAGTAACCCACACAAATATTTACACACAGTCAAGGGTAATATTGGCCAGGCATAGTGCGGCTCATGCTTACAATCCCAGTACTTTGGAAGGCTGAGGCAGGAGGACTGCTTGAGCCCAAAAGCTCAAGACCAGCCTGGGCAACATAGCAAAACCCTGTCTCTACAAAAAATTTTAAAAAAAGATTAGCTGGGCATAGTGGTACAGTCCCCAACTACTTGGAAGGCTGAGGAGAGAGGATGGCTTGAGCCCCAGGAGATAGAGGCTACAGTGAGCCATGACCATGCCCCTGCACTCCAGCCTGTGCAACAGAGACTCCAAACCAATGGAATAAAAGGGAAAAAAAGGATAATATGAATGTCTACTACTGATTTGACACTAAAAAGCTTTTAAAAGTTACATAGGTATTCTTTTCAACTATCTAGTTTGGGCATATAACATGGAAATTCTTGAAACTGTTTCCTTGTAAATTGTATCCCATTATTGAAATACTGGCAGGTAGAGAAAAGTGTTTTAAAATAGAAGGAAAACTCAAAACCACATTTGACACATTCTCTTTTGTATTTCCTGGCTTTTGCACATGTAGATGTCAAAAAAAGAAAAGAAGACTTTACAAAGGGAACTTAAGTCCCCTTTAAAAAGTCTAAATTTGCCGGGCTCGGTGGCTCAGCCTGTAATCCCGCGCCTTTGGGAGGCTGAGGTGAGTGGATTGCCTGAGCCCGCGGGTTCGAGACCCGCCTGGGCAGCGAGACCTCATCTCTACGAGAAATCAAGAAATCAGCCGGGTGTGGTAGTGCATGCCTGTAATTCCAGCTACTCGGAAGGCTGAGGCGGAAGGATCGCTGGAGCCCAGCAGGTCGAGGCTGCGGTGGCCGGGAGCGGCCACTGCACTCCAGTCTGGGCGACAGAGTGAGACTCCAACTCAAAAAAAAAAAAAAAAAAAAAAAATTCTAAATTTAGCCGGGCTCGGTGGCTCAGCCTGTAATCCTGAGCCTTTGGGAGGCTGAGGTGAGTGGATTGCCTGAGCCCGTGGGTTTGAGACCTGCCTGGGCAACTTGGCGAGACGTCATCTCTACAATAAATCAAAAATTAGCCAGGCGTCGTAGCGCGCGCCTGTAGTTCCGGCTGCTTGGAAGGCTGAGGCAGAAGGATCACTGGAGCCCGGCAGGTCGAGGCTGCGGTGGCCTGGAGCGGCCAGTGCACTACAGTCCGGGTGACAGAGTGAGACTCCAGCTCAAAAAAAATAAAATAAAAAATAAAAAAGTCTAAATTTATACTATGTTACTTCAAATAAATAATCTTTTGGAAATAAAAGTTTCTGGCCATTGCTTTGTTAAACTCTCATGTCTCCATGTGGCTCTTTCAGCTATGGCCGCCATGTTTTCTTAGCTTTGGTCCCCTTCCTACCTTGGGGTGGTGAATCTTCTCTCTCACTCTCTCTAATTTACTTTCTAAATAAACTTTGCTTGAAAAAAAAAACCAAACTGAACAAAAATTTCTTTGTATTCTTAATGAGGAAAGATTTTTGGCTTCCGATTTGGGTTTGTTACATACTTAGAAAAGCGTATGTTTTGAAAACGTAGAGCGGTTCTAAACTTGAGGTGAGTAAGGGCAAAGGGCACCCTCCCAAAAACAACTAATGGATACCTAGGAAACTTCCAGCTCCACACTGAAGTGGGAGGCGCACTCTCACGTCTCCCACCTCCAAACTCCTAACTCCTCACCGCAGCTCACCATCTCTGTGGCTTCTGTGGCATAGCCTTTGCTCCAATGGTTTAGGTATTATGGTTTTTGAAACTGACATTTTTTTCTACTTCTTCTCTAATCACTTTTTATCTGATTTCGGTAGCTTTTGAGTTAATGTTTACTGATACTTCTTAATGCTGAGGTAAGGGAAGCAGAAAGATGGAAGAAAATGCAAAAATGTGTTTTTATATTTGGGGATTTGATATCCAATAGATCCTGTACAGCGACTTGACAAAATTAGCAAAAATTGAGAGTTAATCTTAGCATTATTCTTGACTTCTGAGACACCTACATTTCTGGAAAAGGAAAAGTTAAGTAACAAAGTATTTTAGATACACTTAAGGATCATTAGTCAACACATACAATCACTTCTGATACAATACCTGGTGATGTCTCATAGTGCTTTTCAATTTCAGAGAGTGTTCCAATCAAATCATCTTCTATCATATTTAAATAAAACAAAATATTGCAGGAAAACATTTTCAAGAAAGAAGAAGAGTCAATAATTTAAACAGAGAGCTGAATAATCATCATGATAAAGAAAGAGAACTTTTTAGGTAGATTGAAGGAAACTTTGTTGTTCAAAATCCACATACAATCTGCCTTGTCAGCCTCATCAGTCACCCATTTTTGGTTGTCCTACTGCCAGCACTGGCACAAACCAAAAACAAATACTAACTCAATCAAAATTAACCTAATGCTTCCATTAAAAAAAACCAGAATAGTCCAAACATAATGGAAAAAAAGTAAAGCTTATTTTGGTTGCCTGATTTTTTTGGTTTTTTTTTTGAGTTGGAGTCTCTCTCTGTCGCCCAGGCTGGAGTGTAGTGGCACAATCACGGCCACCGCAGCCTCGACCTGCAGTGCTCAGGCAATTCTTCTGCCTCAGCCTTTCAAGTAGCTGGCACCACAGGCGTTCATCACCATGCCAGGCTAATTTTTTGATTTATTGTAGAGATGAGGTCTCACCAAATTGCTCAGGCTGGTCTTCAACCTCTGAGCTCAGGCAATCCATTCCCCTCTGCCTCCCAAAATGCTGGGATTACAGGCATAAGACACTGCACCTGGCTCCTGCCTGATTTCTAGTAGGGCCCATCTATGTGTTTTATGACTAAAATACAGATTCTGTGGAAAGGAAAATTAACAACACCATATATATATACAAAAAATAAAATATTCATTAAACCAAAGGACCAACTTGACATAAAATTTAAAAATGAGAAAAATGCCACATTCGTGAAGGTATATGATGGTAATGTTTTGGCAGTTAGAAATCAAATCATTTTATATTTCATTCTAGCCTGTATTACTTATGCTATTTTTACAATGGCCAAACACACAAGATGTATTTCTCCTATGTGAGCTTTGCCAACCTAAACTGAATATAATTCTATCAGCTTAATTAGGGCATGTATTTCAAGTTTAACATGAATTCAGATTCACTTGGAAGGCCAGTTAAAAGATTGTTAGCCCCACTCCCAGTTGATTTAAAAGGGCTACATTTCTTTTTTGAGTTAGGGTCTCACTCTGTCACCCAGGCTGGAAGGCAGTAGCACAATCACGGTTCACTGCAGCACTGACCTGAACTCAGGCTTCCACCTCAGCCTTTCAAGTAGCTGCGACTACAGGTGTGCACCACCACACCCAGCTAATTTTTAAAAATTTTTTTATAGAGATGAGGTTTTGCTATGCTACCCACGCTGGTCTAGAACTCCTGGGCTCAAGCAATCCTCCCGCATTGGTCTCCCCAACTGCTGGACCACATTTTGAACATTACTAAATTAGTGTTCATCTAGTATAAATCAGTGATATTTATCAACAAGGATATACCCATCAGTATCTAAAAAGTAGCAATAAGGAGTGTAATTTTGATAAGAAGCTGTGCTCCTGAAACACAGCTGCTTTGTTTAAGTGACTTTGTGCTTTATTATACTAACAATGACTGAGAAAGGTATAAGAATTTGTAGGAAGAAATGAGTAAAGATGACGTCAAAAAACTCAAACAAAATCTAAATGTAGTAAAATACGGAATTTATATGGTGAAGTTTAGGCTTATATGTCCTAAGAGCTATTTTTTAAATCTTTATAATTTAAGTTCTTGTGGAAAATATAATTAATTGCGAGCGCAAAACCATTTTCTTTCATTGAATCAATTGTTTTCAAGATCAACTGGTCTTAAAACACAAACTCTTAGGCATGCAGTTAGCAATTCAGAGTAGAAAGGGCTGCCTTACATTTTGCCTTCAAACTATTTCTACTGCTCAGCAGGGTATAAATTTGACTCATTCTTAACAGTGCTAACCACAGTTAAAAGTCTTCTGTACAGATAATATAAACTGTGAAACAGAAAAACAAGGCTGATAATGCTAGGTGTGTTTCTGGAAAAACACAATTTCTAATGTTAAATTCTTCACTAGCCCATTATATAATATATGCCCGATCATATTTTGCACACTGAATTTTACACACAATGATAATAACCCCTTACCGACTGTTGGCGTATTGGCAGCACTCAATGAAGCAGACGATGAGATAGAGGAAGAACTTTCTGCCCGGGCTAAAGGAGCAGCAGGAGGTGGGCTGGTGTTGGAAGTTACAGGTGGGCTGAATGGCCTGGGCTTAAAAACAGAAAGTTATTTATCAAAATGCTAAAACAAAAAAATCCCTCCTTTGTCAAAGACGATTTCTAAGTGTCAGGTAAATTCAACAGACCAAACTAAATTTACTTGTAACTCAAAATCAGAGATGCCACAGGTCAAATCATTTTCAATATATTAAGAACTGAAAAGGCTATTTTTAAATAACAAGAGAGTCTTTGCACGGAAAAGATGTCCTGTGTTTCAAAACGTATGCTTAAGAGAAATTCTTAGCAGTTAAATAAACAGTATGAAGGCTCTTCTTCCCAAACTGCTTCCCAAAAGGGCTATTCACTTCACCTGACTGTCTTTAAGTAAATGGGAATATTTCTTGTCAACCTCTGCCAGCAGCGAATGGCAAAACATGATTGAAATTTTTTCCTAGCAAATAATTTGATAGATAAGATTTGCACGTTCACTTTTATAAATGGTTTGATGTATTTTTGGGAGGTTTTAGTATTACTAAAACTTTCAGCAACCCCTTGCCTTATTTGCTGCAAGTGTTCTCCCTAAATATCACTTGCCCTTTACTTGAGGTGTTTACAAATCTGTCCACATTTTTTAATTAGGCATAAAGACAAATAGGAAAAAATATCTCTAACTGATTTATCTTTTACTTTAGTGAATTGATTTTTTTCCCCTTTTAAATTCCTAATTGTTCCAATAATACATTAGCTATACTTCCTGAGGTGTTCCACTTTTTTAGAAAATAAGGTAAGTTTATCTTAATTTAAAAATAGCCTTTTCTTGTTTCGGCAAATACAAAAATATTTATTTAGTGCCTATCATGTGTCAGGCCCGGATTAGGTACCAGATAAAAAGCAGTGAACAGGAAAGGTAACTGCCCATAGTCACTTGAGGAACATAAAAAACAAAAGCAAAAAACAAACAAAACCCTATTAGCACTCATACTAAATTAAACTGATCAACTCTTCATTGCATGAATATAAACTTGCGGATATACATTTTTACAGAAATTAGATTTGACTTCACAAAGTGATTTACAATTTGTAATCCCCCACCCATTTAACTATTTTATCCAGAGTACAACTTTTTTTTTTTTTGAGTTGGAGTCTCACTCCGTTGCCCAGACTGGAGTGCAGTGGCCGCTCCCGGCCACCGCAGCCTCGACCTGCTGGGCTCCGGCGATCCTTCCACCTCAGCCTTCCAACTAGCTGGAACTACAGGTGCGCACTACCACACCCGGCTAATTTTTTGATTTATTGTAGAGATGAGGTCTCGCCAAGTTGCCCAAGTGGGTCTCGAACCCGTGGGCTCAGGCAATTCACTCCTTCAGCCTCCCAAGGTGCTGGGATTACAGGCTGAGCCACTGAGCCCGGCTCAGAGTACAGCTTTTTGATGACTCGTTCTTACGGACAATTGGTTGCAAACTACAGCCAGGTGCTAACAATGCAACAGTGTAAGTATACAGACAAAGATGGTTCATGGCATTAGGCTGAACAGATACTGAATTCAAGAGTTGGTCTGAAATTTACAAGCTCAACAAAGGACTTGAGATCAACTGCTGTGGAACATTCCTCCTGGGGCAACATGGCCTCAAGACCAACATTTTTAGAGCACATTTTATAATTTTTTATGAAAAGGCAAAAACCTTGAGTTCCTTTCTCAAGTGGTTTTCTCCTATTTTAAAACTGTGTTATCTAGTACAGTGGCCACTAGCAGTTGAAATATGACTAGACCAAATTGAGATGTGCTATGAGTATAAAATAGAGCAAATTTTGAAGACTATACACAAAAAAATGTAAAAATCCCATTAATAATTTATACTGAATACATGTTAAAATAGTATTTTTAATACATCAGGTAAATATTTAAATGAATTTCACTGTTTTTATTTTTTAACGTGACTAACTAAAAGTTTTAAATTATAAATGCTGCTTATATTATATTTCCATTGGACAGCACTACTTTAAAACAGTGACTCTCAAACTTAGCATGAATCAGAATCATTTGAAGGGTTTGTTATGTCTTTCTGTAGCAACAAGGTCTCGCACAAGCTGGTCTCAAACTCCTGGCTTCAAGCTATCCTCCTGTCCTGACTTCTCAAAGTGCAGGGATTACAGGTGTGAGTCCTCGTGCTACCCTGGAGGGCTTGTTAATTGCTGGGCCTCTCCCCTGAATTTCTGAGTTATCTGGAGTAGAGCCACAAAAACTGTATTTCTTTTTCCTTCCTTTCTTTCTTTTTTTAAGAGACAAGATCTTACTCTGTCCAGGCTGGAGTACAATGGTGCAATAGATAATAGCTCATTGCAACCTTAAACTCTTGGGCTCAAGCAATCCTCCCACCTCAGCCTCCAAAGCACCTGGGACTACAGGTATGCACCACCACAATGGTTAATTTTTAAATTTTTTTGTTGAAACACTCTCTTGCTGTGTTGCCCAGGCTGGTCTTGACCATCTGGGCTCAAAGGATCCCCCTGCCATGGCCTCTCAAAGCGCTGAGAATACAGGTGTGAGCCACTGCACCAGGCCAAGAAAGTATTTCTATCAAGTTTCCAAGTGATGCTGATGCTGGTGGTATGGGTCTGCACTTGAGAGTGTTACTGCTATACAACAATGTAAAGCAGGGGGTGGACAGGTGTGGTTATACAGATCCCTTTGAGCATCTAGTGAAAACTCTGAGCCCTCTCTCCAGAAAAATGCACACAGAAGCATGCAAAGAAAAAGGCATTCCAATGTACAGCTGGAGAAAATTCAAATCAACATAACCTTTCTGGTGGGCAATACAGCAACAATTACCAAGAGTCTTTAAAATGTGCATGCCGTTTAGTTCACAAATTTCACTTTAAAATTTTTTTACTGAAAAATAATGCCTGCAAAGAAAACATAAGGATATTCACTAAGACATCATTTACACTAAAGAATAAACATGGACTAAATGTCAAACAAATTTCTAAAAGCTTTTAGAAATTTAATTCTGACAACAATGTAGAAGATAAAGCACTTATACATTAAAGCACTCTGCAGCCACTTCAAATGGTGATCCCTGAAGCTCTGAGGGTGGTTTCTAGATGGCTCTCAAGGCTGGGGCAGGGCCATGGTATTGGGGGGGGAGGGAACAACGTAGAGGGTTCAACAATAAGAGTCCCATTTTTATTTAGTTTAATACAATCACAATTTTGGGATATGTAGCAAAAAGTCTATCATTTCAAAGAAGCTTAAGAAGTGTGAACTAGGAATAAATCACTCAGCAACATGGTACAAACTGGAGGCCATTATCCTGAGTGAAATAACTCAGAAACAGAAAGTCAAATACTGCAAGTTCGCACTTGTAAGTGGAAGCTAAATAAAGAGGACACATGGACATCAAAAGATAGAACAGACAGACCCTGGAGACTACACAAGGGGGGAGGGTGAGAGCGGGGGAGGGATGAGAAGTTACCGAGTAGGTACAGTGGGTACGGGGTTCACTGGTTGAGTGGCAGCTGCACTAAAAGCCCAGCCTCCACCAGACATCACGTCCATGAAAGAAGTTTCCTAAGCTTACTTAAAAATGTTAAAAGTTTTTTGAAGAGGAGTAATTCATGATATAAAAAGACATTTTCAAGTTAAGATCAAATGAGAAATATGTAAAGTATGACTTTTTTATTTAAAAATATATGCATACCATCCATAATAATGTTTTTGAGTAATTACTTGTGTTCAACAATGTTCTATGTGTTTTACACATATTAACTCATTTAAGTCTCACATCAACTTAGTATCATTCTACTCGTTTTGCTCTGAGGAAACAGACTCTGATTAAATAATGGGCATAATGTTTAGCTAATACATGGCTAATAAGCTTGTACTTTTTTTTTTTTTTTTTTGAGTCGGGGTTTCACTCTGTTGCCCAGACTGCAGTAGTGCCAAAATCAAGGCTTACCACAGTCTCAACCTCCTGGGCCCAGGTGATCCTTCCACCTCAGTCTCCGGACTAGCCGGAACTACAGACATGTGTCACGGTAAATTTTTTTTATTTTTTGTAGAGATGAGTTTGGCTATGTTGCCTAGGCTGGTCTTGAACTTCTAGGCTCAAGCTATCCTCACACCTCAGCTTCCCACAGTGCTGGGATTATAGGAATGAGCCACTGTACCTGGCCAAGCTTGTACTTTTAACAACTGCATTTTACCACCTCTGGATAAACATACATTAAAAAAATAATGTTAACAGTTGGTTACCTTTGGGGAGTAAAATATAGAGGAAATTTTAAATTCTCTGTGTTTTCTACATTTTCTAAATTTTACAACATGATAGTGCACTGCTTTTGTAATCAGGAAAAAAAAATCAAGTTTTTAAGATGTCACTTAAATAATAACCATCTCCTTGGCAGCTTGTACCTGGTCTTTCATGTCACCTCCACTAAGTCTGTTCACTGGGACAGAAGGTAAAAGGAAGATGTCACTGTTTCAACACTTGGCGCTTAAGCCTTCCAATCTATTCACTGGCCATTTCGTGACTAGGTACCATCTGACAGGTATCAGGCAAAATAGTGAGGATATGATCACTAGGTTTCACTGATGGGAACACACAAAAAGAAAGTATATACAAGGTGACATGTGCACCAATAAAAATATGGGGAGAAGAAGAGTGAAGAAACGATCCGAGAGAGCTCTGCCTAGGTGGTGCTTATCAAGGTCTTGAAGAAAGAGGCCCATTCGCCACCCAGAAAACTCAAGGGCGTGTCGAACGAAGGGAGCACAGTCAACAGACACAGAGACATGAAACAGCACAATGTGTCTGGGGAGCACTGAAAAGCCTCAACGGGTTGGAACCCAGGCCGGAAGGAGGAGAGACGGGCGGCCAGTCTGGTCGTGCAGGTTGTGCGGGCAACTTCATGGCAACCTTGCACATCTGGCTACAACATCCAGCCACGTCAATGATGGGAATCACTGGAGATGTATACCAAGGGGGAAAAGACCGAGCTGGATTTTCAGAAATATAATTCTGACAAGTAAGCTGGCAATTCGTGGAGAAGGTGAAGCAGAGGAGTACAGATCGAAGGCAAGAAGACGGGTTTGGGAGAGCCTCATTTTGAATGCAGCTCGCAGACTTTCTCCATCTGAGGACTTTTCAAAACCAATGCTCCTCCCCCCCACATATGTACTTTTATAAGTCAACTAAGTGGCGTGGACTCCAGTTTCCTTATGTATAAAATGTAAAAAGTCAAACTAGTTGCCCCCTATGACCTTCCTGGCAGTATGCTTCTAAGGGCCTGTAAGAACAGGCTACCCCTTATTCCTTAATATTTGACTTTAAGCAGAATTACATGAAAACTGCTCCTTTATTGTGACACAATGGGTACTGAATGGCGTCTCTACAATGTGGCAACTTTCTCAGGAAATCTTTCCTCCTGGACAATGTCTTATTCACAGGTATGATAGCTGAGGTAATAAAGAAAAGTGAAAGAAGTGCTGGCTGGGGAAATTTTTCTATACTTTGGGGACTCAAGCAGAAAACTTCAAGCATTTAACTGTAAAGGGGCATACCGAAACATATTATTTGCATCTTAAATCAAAACAGCTATATAATTTAAAAAAAAAAAACCTGAGTACATACTATTTCATTAATCCCACTGAGTTTGCCTGAAGTAAGCTTTGGTCTGGAAGCAGGCCTCGGAGGTGGGACAATGGTGCCTACAGAAAGAGGAGTTGTGGGCCTAGCTGGTGAGGGGAAAACAGAATTTGAAGAAAATCATTAGTATGTGCAATCCTTGCATAAAGACATTCTATTCTGAAGAAACGGTTAGGATTCAAAGCTAATTTTTTAGGAGTTTTAAAAAAATGTAATTACAGATGCTTGTTGAAACATTGGGAACATGTTTTTTTTCAAGGTTACCAATAATATTTCTGAAAAACATCATTAACTCTGCAATAAAAAATGACACACATTATATAAATTTATTCCTGTTTCCAATATTTATACATATAAAAAATTAAATCGGACAAATTAGCTAATGAAAATAAACCAACTTAAGGCCAAAAGTTGTCAGTTTTTGCCAATACATCTACTTAACAGACAGTAATGCAAGAGCTGAAGAATAAAAACGTAAATTCTAAATAAATTACTTACCTTAATTATACTTGCTAATCTGACTTTTAAGTTGAAGCACATTTTAATATATCTTGGAGTAACATTTTTTGGAATAATTGAAAGTATTGAAAATATTCCATTAGTTTACTAAAAAAATTTCCCCAAATCACCATAATTAATTTTGGTAAGCATTCAAAATAATATCTTAGCTTTCCCTAAGTCCCATATAAATTTACTGTTTACTGTTTGTTTCATAACTTTACAAATCATAAATATTAGTATTCCTAATTAAAAATGACTCATCATGATAGAAATTACTGAATAAAATGCAAGTGTACATCATCAAAAATCACAAATGTATTAGCATAAGCAAAGCAAGAGTTAAAAAATGGAAAGAAATATGTTTACATCATCTTGAAAATCATGTTTAATCATCATGAAAGAGTTAATTAAAATTGTTTTCAAAACCTGTTGGTCTACTCTGAAATATGGGCTGTTAATTCAGAGACTGAAAAACACAATGGATGGGAAGAAACATACTTGACATCTTTTCCGAGTTCACAGATACGTAAAATTAAAAAATACACACGGAGCTAAGTGTATACATAGGAAAACACACTATAAAGCTGAAGGCCCTTAGTCATCAATGGAGGAACAGAGGCACGAAAGGAAGGGACACAGGAGGTGGCACCAAGAGACCCAAAGAAAAGAGTAGGTACACAGGATTGAAAGTAAACGCCTGGAGGTAGGGAATCATTCAGAAAGCGCATCATACGAAGGGATAAAAGCTGCAAGCACAGTTCAGGTTGCTTAAGAAAGAGAGGAAAGGCTGATGACTAAGTCAAGTTCAGAGTCTGAGCCTACTGTCTTCTCCAGTCGGCACCAGTTCTCCACGCTGCACTCGCACTCCAGGCTACACGTTGAGCGTAATGTGCACCACAGTCCCCCTGAAGCTCCTAACACTTCTGTGCCATGACGTATCTACTTTAAAGGCATGTTCTTTATCAATGAAGCTAGCACCTTTCTATGTTTTTGTTTCTGCTTTTTTTCTTGTAGAGACAGGATCTCGCCAAGTTGCCGGGGCTGGTTTCGAACCCGTGGGCTCAGGCAATCCACTCACCTCCAAAAGTGCCGGGATTACAGGTTGAGCCACCGAGCCCGGCCTACCCTCCTGTGTTCTTATTTCAAGCTTGTGAGAGGGCTTAACACAGCAGAGGATCTACACATCTACACCTGAAGCTTCATTATTATCTAGCGGCCTGTCCAAATGGCATTTAGACTAACTCAAACCAAGTTTGGTAGAAGTATTACGTTCAGCTCCTTTAAACAATCAGAATCTGCTTTTAGAGGAAAGCTAATAACATTATTTATTAACACCACTGTTTATAAATGACTCTATATTACATCTATATATGTCAACTAGGTACTGGCTCTAGAAGCCTCTAAGAAGATAAATATTTAAGTGTTGTGATTATGTTTTATTTTTTGCTGCTGCTGGTGGTGGTGGTGAAGCTCACTGCTACAAATTTCTATTAGAGGCAGTGTTTGCAGAAACATGAGTTGACCTATAAAGTATATGAGGGAGACAAAAAAAAACTGGAATTTTTTTCTCTTGAGGGCAGGCCCCTTGTAGTATAGACTTCTTCTGCTAGGTAAGTGTTCTAGGAACCCACTGGCATCAGTGTACCAGCGAGCATTGTGAGAGGCTGTACTGGGCTTCAGCGAAAAGTGTTTTTGGAGATTCTTTCAATGCGTTTGCTCAACTCAATACAGGTGATTTATGAGCACATCTGCCCACACCGTGCTGAGTGTTCAGCAGTTTTTGACCAAAAACAGCATGTCCCCCATGCCACCCTCCCTATTCGCCTGATCTCACCCTGAGTGGCTTTTTTTGTTTCCTCAAATTAAAGAAAAATCCTCAAAGGGAAACGTTTTGCTCATGTGGAAGAGGTGAAACAAAAAATGGCAGAAGCACTAAAAGGCATCATAACTGATGAGTTCAAAAACTGTTCTGAGAAGTGGAAAAGTGTCTTGAGAGGTGTATTGTGTCAAAGAGTACTCTAAAGGTAACTGAAGCTTAAACATGTAAGAATAAATGCACAATTTTTTACAAATAAATTTAGGGTCTCCCCCTAGTAAATAAAAATTTACCTGTATCTGCCCTAAGATGTTACCCAATGGGAATAGACAACGCATGTTTGCCATGCCATTTTCTATCTGAGCAAAGGCAAAGCCTAATCTAGAATCCAGAAGCAATAATGGTGATGTAGAAGAAATTATCCACAGCATTGTTAGCTTCTTCTGTCAGTAATTTTTCTTTTTTTTCTCTTTTTTTTTTTTTTTGAGTTGGAGTCTCACTCCATTGCCCAGACTGGAGTGCAGTGGCCGCTCCCGGCCAGCGCAGCCTCGACCCGCTGGGCTCCGGCAATCCTTCTGCCTCAGCCTTCCAAGTAGCTGGAACTACAGGCGCACGCTACCACACCTGGCTAATTTTTTAATTTGTTGTAGAGATGAGGTCTCGCCTGCCCAGGCTGCCAGTAATTTTTCAAGACATGTAATATTATGGCAAAGGTCACTCTGATCTTCAGAGATGCAGCTGTTGGGAGACATCTCATCCAAAGCATCAGGGAACCCAAAAGTATTTTCAGCTTTACAATGCAATCTCTGGAATGCCCTCTCAGCTGCACTGGTGTTATTAATTGTAACAAGTTCAACAGTACAGAAAAGTCGCTGACTTTGAGACCATGAAGCAAAAGAAAACTTAGCTGTGCGATATGGTGGTACTGTCACAGGGTAAAACAGAGGCAGGAGAAAAGTCTGGTGATGGGCTTTCTAGACCCAGAATCTGACATGGTTTCAAGTAATGATCAGTTATCACATACTCAGGCAAATTGGTTGGAGAGGAAGTGAAGTTTTTCTGCTTTTAAAAGTCAGCTGAATAAGAAGAAAACAACTGAAAACTGGAAGGAACTGGAAAATACTAGAACCAAAATATAAATCTATATAGCTAAATAGTTCTCGTTTCGGTTTAATGCTATTTTAGTTACTTGAAACTGGAAAACATAATAATACATGGAAGGTGAGCTCACACTTTATATTAATTGAGGAAAACAAGCATGCACACAAGAAACATCAGAGCAAATGAAAAGCTGAAGGCCCCAAATTACATAAAGTCAGACCTATTCCTGTTTTCCCAGAGGAGTAAAGGTAGCTAACGCCAATAGTCAATACAAGGTAGCAAAGTGATAGTGCTGTGTATGTGTGGTGCTCAACAAAGTTTCTACGTGGCTAGTGATAACACTACCACAGGAAGTACATCAAACCAAATCAGTGTTGGATTAGTATGAAAAATCAGCCTAACATTTTTCAAAAGATCATTTTAAGGAGTTTCTGCAGAGCACAAGAGCTCAATTAATCCATGAGCAGAGAAGAAAATGGTCTACACTGCCATTTACCAAAGAGAAGGTAGGTATCAAATACTTATGCTAGTTTTTAAAAATATATACATGAGCCGGGCTCGGTGGCTCAGCCTGTAATCCCGTGCCTTTGGGAGGCTGAGGTGAGTGGATTGCCTGAGCCCGCGGGTTCGAGACCCGCCTGGGCAGCGAGACCTCATTTCTACAATAAATCAAAAAATCAGCTGGGCGTGGTAGCACATGCCTGTAATTCCAGCTACTTGGAAGGCTGAGGTGGAAGGATCGCCAGAGCCCAGCAGGTCGAGGCTGCGGTGGCTGGGAGCGGCCATTGCACTCCAGTCTGGGTGACAGAGTGAGACTCCAACTCAAAAAAAAAAAAAAAAAATATATATATATATGTATACATGAATGTATACATATATTCACGTTTGACATAATCATCATGAATGCTTATTTATAGTTTATACGGCACAAGATGCAACTGAAACTACTTCCCAACCAAGCTCTAAACGACAATTTAAAACATAGAATAACACTAAGGTGCTTAACTATCAGTTATTAACAAACTGGTTGGAATTATTTTCTACAACTATTTTACAATGAGGTTACTGATTAATTAAGATTCTGAAAGAGGCAGAGAAGAGTACAAAATAATCTCACAACTTGTACCTTGCTAACATGCGACAATGGGTACCCAAGTAGAGGATCTTTAGATAGGGGAGAAGTGCATAGCAAAAAGTATTGGAATAAAATTTAAGATATGCTATAACCAGTGAGTACCAAGAAAAACATAAAAATTAAAATAAAAATGTAAGACAAAATGCTATTTCATAATTTCACTTAGGGTCAGTTTTGCAAAACAAGAGAATTACAATGATAAATTGAATAGTTTGATCAGTAATTATATTCTGTTTAAATGAAGACAATAATAAATACTATACCACAGAATAATTATCTCTTGAGCATCACAAACTTTTTTTGAAAAGTAAAGTAATTTATGACATTTTTCACACTGTATGAGAAAGTCTAAAAATGCGTACTGAAGTGAATTAAAAAACAAGTAAAAAGTTAGTAAATGTTTTATCATTTCCTAGTTGCTAAACATTAAATGGCCATTGAATTAAAATGAACTAGTTTTTACCTGAAATGATGAGGATATGGGTCAAACATTCTTTAGACAAGTAGCAAAAGGAAGAGAACATAAGTTTTTTTGAAAAGAAAGATTGTACTACAGAAAATAGCAAGAAACAATGAGCAGAATTATGAAGAAGTTTCTATATAACTAAAATCTCTATGAGACCAATTTGAACATTTTTATAAAATATTTTAATAAGCAACTCATAGAGATATTAACAAAATTTTTAATTACTGCTTAAAACTTTTCATCCTAATTACAAAACACCATTCTGACATCTTTACTAAATAAAAAGATGACTTTGTACTAAGTAAAAAGAAGACTTAGCAACAACTTCAGTTTTTCCTGTACAGTTATTTTCCTTATATATTTGTAAGGTTAGTTTTATAAAACTAAATAGCAACAAATGCCCACTGAGAAAAGCTATAACGCTACTTCAGAATATGTCCAACTATCTATTGACTATTTCTTGCTGTTTTACAATTATTAGGTACAGATTACCCTCTCTTCAAAACTCCAAATAGTGTTTAAGGTTAAGATTTCCTATAATTCATTTGCAGTTTGTTTTAAATATACTGTCTCTACAGAGTCTAATTTTAAGTACTAATATTTATTTTATTACCAATAGTAAGATATTTCAACATGCTTTTGTTGTTGTTAATCTGTCAGAGTGTGATAGAACAATGGTTTTAGAATTAGTAAAATCCAGGTTTAAATCTTGTCTCCATCATTTACTAGCTGTATGATCTCAGAGAGGTTACTTATCATGTCTGATTTTACTTTTTTCATCTATAAAACAGGGACAATAAAAAATAACTTCATGCATCTCGTAATGTGACAGAATTAAAGAGAATGTGCAAAGCCGTAATGTGACAGAATTAAAGAGAATGTGCAAAGCTCTTTGCAGAGTCATAGCATGAACTTGACAGATTTCATCTCTCTCCCCAGGATTCCAGCACCTCCTTAACCCCAAATACTATATGGCAATTCTGAAATCCCCAAAAAAGGTAGAAGATCAACTAAAACGGATTTCATTTTCTTGTTTTGAACAAGCAGTAATTATTATTAAACATGTATTTTTGATGCCTGCTTTTGATTGTTGACGGATTAAAAAAAAAATTGGTATTTTGGAGAAAACAGAAACTTTACATATTCTTGCCAAAACAACAACTAAAAAGCATTCGAAGTTTTTTCATATATTGTTTATATATTTCTTTCATATGCAGCTTTCAAAATGTCTTTCATATATTGGGTCAGGCACAGTGACTCATGTTTTTAATTCCAGCACTTTGGGAGGCCAAGGCAGGAGGATTGCTTGAGCCCAGGAGTTTGATCCCAGCCTAGGAAACACAGCAAGACCTTGTCTTTACAAAAAATAAAAAAATTAGCTGGGCATGGTGGTGTGTGACTGTAGTCCCAGCTACTCGGGAGGCTGAGACAGAAGGATTGCCTGAGCCTAGGAGGTTGGGGCTGCAGTGAGCCGTTATTGTGCCACTGCACTCCAGCCTGGGCAACAGAGTGAGATCCTGACCCAGTGAAAACAAAAAGAAGGCAGTTTGGCGATAAGTATCCATGGACATATCTTGGTACTCATAAATATTATACTGATAAATTATTACAAGAATATTATGAGTTGTGCACAAAATTTGTTATTTCTATGAAGGTTCATAACAATAGAAAATTAGGTGCAACTAGAATGTCTACTAAGAAAGGACTAGTAACAACAATGTATATTTTCCATTTGAATCGCCTATAAACAATAAAAATGATTATTTGGGTAACGATATAAAATAATGTATAGAAATAAAAATATCAATTTTTTAAATACTTGTTTTTTAATACATTTTTATTGCGTAAGCCATAGGGCATTTCTACACTAAAAGAACAAAACCAGTAAAAAGTCACTGTTATCTCGCAATATGAACAGAGGACATATTTTTAGAAATTTTGATAGTTAAGTATAATGCACAACTAGTGAATAAACGAGAAAAAAGCAACTACTGTATTCCTCAGTTAAAACAACTTCTGTGCTTATCTGTATTTACCTGACGAGGATGACGTTAATGAAGATGAAGAAGATGAATCAGGAGATGGTCCGAAGAGGGGGTCCCAGGCAAGTAAATCACTGGTCCCTTTCCTGGTGCAACATTTAAAAATCAGCTTCACAAAAGAGTATCTCAGTAGTATAAACTCTGGCTGCTTATTTTTATTTCCTAGAAAGAATTCTGACGGCTTGACATACATGACTGAAAAGTTGGATACTCTGGATATGTGAAGAAGTTTCATTAACAGATTTAATAAGCCAATATTTGTCATCCGCTATGAGCAGAACCTAAAACAGCATAATCTGAAGTTGGCAGGGGAAGGTGGGGAAGACTAACTCCCATTCATCCTATCTTGCCAGACCTTGGAAGCCATCAAAATCAGAATACTTTCAGCTTACAAATGGAAAGAAAAAAAAAACAGCAGCACGGATTACTCAATAAACTGCCCAAAGACACACAGGCACTTAATTTCAAAACAGTTGCTGGTCTGCTGATTCACACCTAGCACCCAGTCTTGAACAGAACATTTAGGTGACATGAAATTGGGTAGAAATTTTGTTCTTCTTAAGTACAGAAAAATGGTTTAAATATTTTAATGTATCAAATTGTCATTAGTTTTAAAAAAAATACTTCAGGAAATCTTACACAGAAAGCAGGACCACTATAATGAAAACGTCCTAATTATCTACAAGTACATATCTAGTATCACAGCAGCACTTACATGAAAGCACACTATACCTTGCATGATAAAGCCTAGCATTACAACTACATAAATGATTCCTAAAAACAAGTTTTAAAATACTAAAGAACTTATCTTTAAAAATGATAAATTCAATAAATACCACCACTGTACTCATTAGTGCCTCAAAAATATCAAATAATTTAATTAAGTCTACCTTCCATGTGCAAGAAATATTAACTCAAAGAAAGTTTTTTTTTAAAGTAGAGATGTGGTCTTGCTACGTTGCCCTGGCTGGTCTCAAATTCCTGAGCCTCCTGCGCCTCAGCCTCCCAAGGTGATGGCACTATAGGTGTGAACCACCGTGCCTGGCCAAGATATTTTTATTGATAAGATTCAACAGTGAAAAGAGACCCATGCAAAATTGGCTAACATTTTTAACTTCTTTTTGAAACACAGAATGACCCATAACACCTTACTAGAATGGAAACTGTAAGAACTAAAAAACAAAACTCTCTAGAAAAAGGAACAAAAGGAGGATACTTCAAATTTAAACGTGGTGTAGAAGAAGGGATCAATAGGTGGAGCACACAGGATTTTCAGGGCCATGAAAATACTGTGTGTGATCCTATAAAGGATGATGCATGTCTTCATACATTTGTCAAAATCAACAGAATGTACAACACTAAGAACGCACTCTAATGTAAACTGTAAACTTTGGGTGATGATAATGTGCCAACATAAGTTCACAGACTGTAGCAAACGTACCACTCTGGTGAGGGATTCTGACAGTGAGGGAGACTGGGCATGCAAAGGGGCGGAGATTATGGGACATCTCTGTTCAATTTTGCCATGAACCTAAAACTGCTCTAAAAACTAGCCTGTTTTTTAAAAAAAATTAAATATGGAACTTACTCATTGGGTGGAACAGATGGCTTTGATTTTGTTAACTCCTCATCTGATTTAAAAATTAAAATAAGAAAAATTCATTATCTGAGGAAATAAGATATTTTCATGAAAAGGGAAACTCTACACACATATTCCAATACTACTGATAATTAAAAATTTTGTAACTGGTAATATAAATGTAATAATCAATTATGAAAAAAGGCAAATAAGATATTGACAAGTGTTCCATCATATACACTAAAGTAACTGAATTTCTGCTGAATCTTAATTTCTTATAGCATTTTTAGTAAGAAATTATTTAAGTCAACTAAGCTATGGTATTCATTAAAATAAAATTGCTGTTTAGAAGAGAGAAAATATGAACTGCAATTTTAAAAATTAGAAGAAATGTTTAAATATACAACGTTTTCTCAAGAATTTTAATTGATGAATCATGAAAACATTTTTCACATTCTAAGACTATTATTAGTAATTATTGTATTAATCAAAAGTAGTTATTAAACTGAAGGGTGCCCTGTTTTTAAACACTAAACGTTTTATAGCAAGCAACCTAGAGTAACAGTTTCTTTATAAGATAGTCTTTTGCATTTGTAACATGATTCACTTCATAAGCAAGTGGTAAACAGGGGAACGGCATCAGTAATGCAAAGGTCACGCTGGTCAAGCAATTTTCCCTGTACCCTTTATGTTTTGCCATCACCAAGTAATAGCTGACGAACGCAAAACACCTCAATGTGCGTAACTGCCGCAAATAACTGAGGCGCGCCACAGGACGTGGTACCTGTTACACTGCCTTGTTTGGCTGTGCACTCTGCCTCCAAGTGCTTCCTGTGCTATTCTCTGACGCGTCTTCATTTTGTCCTAATCTCCATACTCATCCTCCCATCCCCTATCATCAAGCTACCATTAACATTTCTTTTTTTAAAGGCAAAATTCTTTTATTTGGCATTTATTACGAATTTACCAGATCTTTTAAGACTGTGTTAGAATTTTTATTAAGATTGACGTTACAGTTTTTGTTAAGTGTTCTATTAACAAAATTACACAGCTTTTGGGTGGACTGCCTCAATTATTTTTCCCACAACCCTTGTTATTTTTAATGCATGATTCTGCAAAAGGTGTTAACACCCTAGAATAGTTTTTAGAATAATTAAATTTCTACATTTAAAACAATGTAATAGAAATTGCAATTGTGATATGACTTAAAGATAGGTAAAGGTAAATATTATTTATCTTATCTCATCTTACAAATGCCTTCTGGCTCATGAAACAGAGTATGCTAGGGAAACAATTCAGCATTCTTAAATGAGTTAATTTTTGGTTTTGTCAATTTCGGAAAAACATTGTAGCCATGTATTAAAGTTTAAAGCATGCCTCTTAGCTCTAAAAGAAATAATACAAGTAAGTTGTGTTCTGTTTAAAATAAGTATCCTTCTAGTCAGTCATTAAGGTACACGACCAGAAAAGATTTATTTCTACAGTTACACAAAGTTACAAGATTAACAAATTGCCTTATAAATTTTAGTAGACATAAAATAACCAAGTCAAATGTCAAACTTACTAGATGAATTCCGGTTCATCTGAACCTAAAACAGAAATGCAAAGACTAGGTATTATTAAAGAAATAATTTAATTTGGGAATTAAATATGGCAAAGTATTAATACTGGCAAACTAATTTTAAGTTTTTTTAGTATGTCTGCTCAATTGTAAAGTGTATTTACATAAAAGATATATAGAAAAACACTTTCAATAGCTGTTTTACAGTTTAAAAAAAGTACTTTTAACACCCAATAAAATGTTTTTAAAAGTACTAAAAGAATATCTACAGCAAGATACTGTAACTTGTTAATCTAAAATTTTAATATGAGTATTTTGAAAATCAGTATTCAAACATTACAATGATTTAAAAAGTCAATGGGCAAAAATATAAAATATTGTACTTACTGGACTATGTCTCTAGTAGTACATGAAAGAAAAAAGAAAGTCAGTTTAGAATTCTAAACATTGTATTTTCCTGCTCTAAAAATTTGTCTACTTCCTTTTGAATCGTATTTAAAATATACATACCTTAAAACACACAGATTGTTAGGTGGAAAAAAGTTACGCAAACTGGGCAACACAATATACTTAAAGATAACATATTTTCAATCAGTATCAACTATTAAAATGTTTATTATTATTTTTCTGAGTAAAAAATTAATACATGTTTGGCCAGGCACGGTGGCTCATGCCTGTAATCCCAGCACTTTGGGAGGTGAAAGTGAGAGGACTGTCTGAGTCCAGGGTTTCAAGACCAGCCTTGGCAACTTGGCAAGACCTCATCTCTACAATTAATCAAAAAATTTGTTGGGTGTGGTGGTACACGCTTGTGGTTCCAGCGTGCCACTGCACTCCAGTCTGAGGAACAGAGTGAAGACTCCTACTCAAAAAAAAAAATATATATATATACACACATACACACACACACGTAAATATATGTGTGTGAATATATATTCATTTAAAAAAATAGAAAAGAGGGAAGAGTACAAAAGAGAATATTTAAAATCAATCATGATCTCACTACCCAGAGATAGATGCTTAATACTTTGGTATATTCCTTTGGGCTTTTATTCCACTTACATATATATTTTAAATTAAGTTACACTCTTACACAATACAAATTTTTAATGATTCACAACCTGACACTTCATATATGGCTACCATATTTTAAGCAACTCTCTTTAGAATTCAACATTAACTTTAATGTTAAAAAGTAATAGTACAATAAGATCTCACTGTAGAAATCTTTTTAGTAGAAAAAAATACTTCTGAAATTAAATTCTAAAGTGTACGACTAGGAGAAAAACACTTTTTCTCCAAACATATACATGTAGGCCACTTAAAATATATAACTGGATAATGATATGAAATGGTGAGAACTTTTATTCTCTATTATAAAATAGAATAGATTTAGTATTAATCATGATGATCATGTACAGATATACTTAATTGTTATTCTAAGACAGGCTTTCTTCCCATAGTGAAACATTTCTGAACTTACAATATGACATCACAAAAAGTTCTACTATGGTAATGTTTTAATCTCCCTCAAAAGTTATTAAGTATGGTATTTTAGAATTGAAGAATTAACCATTATCACTAAGACATCTTATCTTTGTCTTTCTTTGATGAAAAGTATGGGAAAACAAATGTTACAGCGACAGATAAATAATGCAAAGATATAATTTAATTTTAAAATGCATTTTTATGGAATTCTCTTTTATATAAGAGTTACAAAACATGAAAGAAAAACTTTAAAATTAGATGAGGAGAAGACTAACACTGCCAGTTCACAAAATTCTGCCTGAGACATTGTTTATTAAATATAACAAATGACAGAAATAGTGAATTTTCTACATTTTCATTTTCTTATAAAATACTTCTAAAAGCAGGCAAAACTAAGTCCAACTCACAAATTTATTTGCCTATATAAAAATAAGTAAAATACTCCCTCATCCCACATACTTAATTTAACAATTACTAAGTGATGTTGTACTTTTTATTAATTTCTTTCTCCTTTTTTTGAGTCAAAAGTCTCACTTTGTAGCCCAGGCTAGAGTGCGGTGGCACACTATGGCTACTGCAGCCTCAGCCTGCGGGGCTTAGGTGATCCTTCCACCTTAGTCTTTCAGGTAGCAGGAACTACAGGTGCATGCCACCATGCCTGGTTAATTTTTTTTTTAATTTATTGTAGAGACAAAGTTTCGCCAAGTTGCTCTGGCTGGGACTTTTAACTATTTCCAGAATTAATGAGATAAGAAAAAAAAGACTTCTATAAAAGAGCATAAACATGTTTTTACTTACAGATACTGCTGGGGAGAGTGTTATATTCCCTATAGATACTTTTAATTCATCCAAAGAAGCCATTGTACGATGTGAGTTATGTGGATGCATAGGCTTAATTTCTATCCGATACTTCTTTGGTTCTTCATCTTCGGAGTCAGAATCACTAGATGAGTAGAAATGATTCTCTTTGGTATGTGAATATCGGTCAAAGAATTAAGTTTTCAAATTACCTTAATGTATAACCAGTTTTTCCACACATTTATTTTTAAAAAGGAAGAAAACCTTTAAGAGTAAGAAAAATTTTAACAGAAATAAAATCACTAAATTTTATTAATTAAAAACATGTCAAATAAGGAGTCATATTTTGTAATTAACTAAAAATTTGAAGAGACTTTAATACATTATTTTGCTATTACTGTCTACTGAGATGCCAACACAATTGATAAGAATACCCAGATGATAAAAGGATATCATTCTGATTTGCTTCTGGTTTAATACTATAACCTTCTTCATCTACATCAGGAATGTTCTATGGGGAGGGAAAAAAAATGACTGTAATGACAATCCCAATTACAAAATTATTAAAGATTAGCAAAATAACCTTAACTATTACTGAAAAACTAAATCAACTATCAAATATCAACAGTTCAACAAAATTATTAACACTGAAAAAAATTACATCTTTTTAGTTAATTAGCTTCAAGACACACTCCATGCTTCAGACATCTGAAAGAGGAAAGACTGGCAAAATGAAACAGGAGAAAACCCTAATTTCAGGGCAAGGAATCGCCAAAGTGAAGACCAATTCAGATTGTTCAAAATCTAGATTCTGTTATTAATCATAAGTGTTTTTTAAAAGTACTATCAAGTGGCTTAAAATTATTATCAAGTTAAATATTCTTATTGCTGTAAGAAGCCCTATGGAATTATAAGATCTAGTGCCTTGTCAAGCAGCTTAAAGTCTGGGTGAGCTAATGAAACTATCTTAGGACAGAGCATCAATGTCTGCTAACATCCCCTAAACAGTGACAACCAGACATCTCATGTCTCAAGAGTGAGGCAGCCTTGACAAAACAAAACAAGAACCAAAAATCTTGAACCTGAATCAGATCAGGTCTATAGATCCAAATACCAATTTAAATAACATAAAAAAAGTAAAACATAATACAGTATGGGAATACAATTAGTAAAATTCTAACCAAAAAAAAATCCCTATAAAACAAACCACCTAATCTCTCCAAAGAGTAGATAGAAAGCCAAATAAATGCCAGGCTCAGTGGCTCATGCCTGTAATCCCACCACTTTGGGAGGCATAGGCAGGAGAATGGCTTGAAGCTAGAATGGAGGCTGTAGTGAGCTATGATCATGCCACTGTACTCCAGTCTGGGTAATATGGCAAGAACCTATGTCAAAAAAAATAAAATAAAATAAAAGCAAGCTAAACAGAGAGGAGGGAAGAGGAACCTATAGATATCCTTAAAAGACACATCAACAAATTCAAACAAAATGTAATTAAAACCTTAAGAAGTGATCATTACAAAATAATGAATGGTTATTTGAAAATATTAAGGAGGTATTGTAAATTAATTTTAGGTATAACAATATTATGATTATGTTTTAAAGGTACATATGAAGTGTATTCAGATGAAATAACATTATTTCTAGAATTTGAAAAGGTAAAATGCATGGACAGGATTGACTAGAAAAAGCTGTTGGGGTTGACTGATAAGAGACAGCCCCCACAAGAAACTATGACAGTATTATAAGTAGTTTCACATTTGTTTAAAACTCTTCATAATAAAAAGTGAAAATAATCTACATGGGAACATAAGAAACAGCAGAAGTTACTAAAGATTATGATGTAAACAGAAATTAGTTTTGAAGCATTTCAGCAGCTTCAAGAATGGGCTTTCTGTTCATACCATAAAACTCCACAGGTGGAAAGGGCACTGCAAACAAGGGGAAAGAGCATCAAGAACAGAAAGAGGACAGACCCAAAGGCAGGAGAGTCAATAAATATCATAGATATGGCAAAAATAAGAGGAGATCAAACGGGAACAAGGTCCTCCAAGAGAAGAAGAAAACACAAGACAAAGAAGCCCCTGTTCCTCAGGGATTAGGAAAAAAATAAAAGGAAGAGAACAGGTGTTTGGGTAGAAATTTCAGTAGATTTGTGAACAAACATTTTCATTCAAATTTTCAAAGTGAAGAAATAAAAGTGCAAAATTGTGTATGTCTGGAGCTGGTATGTGGTAGAGTGAAAGGGCTGACAGCTTAAATAAATGAAAAATTTGGAACATGAACCAAAAAACAGAAATAAGAACAACCAAGAAAATTAAAACTACACCAACATACCAAATTGAAAATATACTTTGTGAAGCTGTTGAAATACATGTTCATACTTTACTGGTATACATACAAAATGAGGCCAGGCGCAGTGATTCACACCTGTAATCCCAACACTTTAGGATGCCAAGGCAGGAGGACAGCTTGAGCCCAGGAGTTCAAGACCAGCCTGGGCAACATAGCAAGACCTCATCTCTACAAAAAATAAAAATAAAAAAATTAGCCAGGAGTGGTGACATGCACTTGTAGTCCCAGCTCCTTGTGGGTTGGGGGGGACACTGAGGGAGAAGGATGGCCTGCACTGAGGAGGTCAAGGTTGTGGTGAGTCATGATCGTGCCACTACACTCCAGACTGGGTGACAGAGTGAGATCCCGACTCTAAGTAAATACATACATACATACATACATACATACATACATATATACATGCACACACACACAAAATCCCGACTATAAATAAATAAATACAAAATGGCAACAACTCCTACAAAGAAAAATTGGGCAATGTGTAACAAAACTACACACATATTTACTCTTTCACCCAGGAATCCCACTTCTAGAAATACACCGTGAAATCACACCTCCAACCATTTAAACACACCTATGGACTGGTGCAGTGGCTCATGCTTGTAATCCTAACTCAAGAATTTGGGGGGCTGAGGCGAGAGGATCACTTGAGTCTAGGAGCTGAAGATCAGCCCAGGCAACATAGCAAGACTTTGTCTTTACGAAAAATACAAAAACTAGCCAGACATGGTGGTGTGCATCTGTAGTCCCAGCTACTTGGGAGCTGAGGCGGGGAGGATCCCTTGAGCCCAGGAGGTTGATGCTACAGTAAGCTGAGATCATACCACTGCACTCCAGCCTGGGCAACAGAGGGAGACCCTGTCTCAAACAAACAAACAAAAAACATATGCACAAGGATAATATTCATCAAAGATTACTTATAATTTGAAGCTATTAGAAATGACCTAAACATCCAAACAAAGTTAAACAAACTATAGTACCTACATAAAACGAGGTACAGCTGGCCTTCCATATCTGCAGGTTATACATTTGTGCAAATACAACCAACCACACATTGAAAATATTCAAAAAAATATTTTAAAATAACAATTCAACACTAAGAATACTATGAAGTTTTAAAAGCAATTACTGACATACCATTTACATTGTATAAGGTATTATAAGTAATCTAAAGAGTATTTAAAGTATAAAGGAGCATGTGTGTAGGTCATATACTAATACTATGACATTTTATATAAGGGACTTGAACATCCAATAATTTTAGTATGGCCCATGTGTGTGTGGGGGTGTCCCAGAACCAAACCCTTGAACATACTATATATGTAGCTAAAAAAAGAAAAAAGAATTATAAAGGTTTCTAGAACTAATATGACGTGATTTCTAGGAAATACTAATTGAAAAAAGATAAGTAGTAAAGAATATATACAGTATGGTAACTTTTAAGAAGGGAAAAAGAAAAAACAAAATCTGTATCTATCTGCTTATCCTCATTTAAAAAGAACAACACCGAAAGGATGATCAGAACACAGCAAAGTTGGCTACTTACAAGGAAGGGCAACAGGGTAGAAAGGAGACAGAAGGAGGGAGGGACGTTCCCCCAAGTATGCTTTTGTCATTAAATAAGGGAACAGTCCTTTTTTCTTCTGTAAATACACACTTAAGCATTTAGGAACTATGGGTCATAATGTATTTAATTTATGCTTACATGGATCAGAAAAAAATATTATACACACATACCTAAACACCAGTACATATATGGGGGTGTCAAAAAATGTATACACATTTTAAGAGATGTTATCTATGTACTATTTTATGAAGCTGAATTGAATTACGGTAGCAATGTGTAGTATGATGTGCCCTCAACCGTGCTTCCGCCATTTCCTTTGATTGTTGCATGGTGACACTACCATTCATTTGATTAATGCCATCTTTTTCTTTTTTCTTGCCTTCCTGTGGGTTATCTGTACCTTTTGAAGAATTACATTTTGACTTATAGAGTTTTTGAGTGAATTACTTTATAGATAGTGGTTGCTCTATGTCACTCTCCATTACCTTCAGATAGTTATTTATGTATTTTAATCAGAGGGAATGTCATACTTAAAATGCGCATACATTTTTTGGCACACCCAGTATAAGGAGAATGCAAGAGAATGCAAATGCTAAAGCAAATGTGATAAAAATAAAGTGCATACAAATGTTCTTTGTATTATTTTATTTTTGCGTTTTTGGTAAGATAGAAGTGATTTCCAATTTTTAAAAAAAATTTAATGGAACAAAAAGACTGCTAAGGAATGCAAAAATCCTTTTACAATAAGGTATGCGGGTTTTTTTCCAACTTTCTAAAGCTCAGCAAGAGGAACCTGAAGGACTGCCAAGGCAGGCATAGCACAAGGTAAAGGAAAACAGGAAGCAACATTTATATGACTATTGCTCCAGCCAAATAAAGTCTACTGCAGCCAGCAATGAGTTAACCGTTGTAATTAAAAACTAGAAATGAAAGATCTAATGTAGGGTAAAGAGTAGATTCCACTGAGAAGAAGATGACAAGACCATATTTATGACACCAAAAGTAGAGTGCTTTTTCTTTGAGCTCTACATACTACTTGTTAATATGCAAATTATCTCTTTAAAATACTTTAAAAACAAAGAAATTTTGCCAAGTGTGGACTCATTAGAAATCAGAATGAAAAGTTTTTTTTCAAAATACTTTATCCCTACTCTAAGTACTCAACATTTCAGGTATTTAGTCTTCTGGAGGTTCTATATGAAACTTGATAACTGACTACTTTAAAGTTGTTTACAATACACTATATAGTACGATGTAATAATTCAGAACAATACCAAGTTGCTTTCTGTAAGGCTGAATAAGCTGCTTTTGGACCAACATCCTATAAATTATAGATTACAACTATAAGCTCTGATCAAAATATATAAATAACTATCTGAAGGCAATGGAGAGTGACATAGAGTAATCACTATCTATAAAAGTAATTCACTCAAAAACTATAAATAAATCAAAATGTAATTCTTTAAAAGGTACAAATAACCCACAAGAAGGCAAGAAAAAAATGAAAACAAAAACAGAGGAACAAACAGGAAACAAAAATAGAACAGCAGACAAATTATGACATATCATTAACTACATAGCTGGTCCAAATACATCAATGAAAAGATGGAAACTGTGGCAGAACGGATTTTTCAAAATGATCCTACTGTAAGTTATCTATAAGAAACTCACTTCAAAAATGATGATACAGGTAGGCGGAAAGAAAAAATATGGAAAAAATTATACTATGCAACATTAATAATAAAAAAGGAAAAAGGAGGCTGCCTTCGTATTAGATAAAGTAGACGCCAGAAAGGAAATTGCCAGGGTCAGAAAGAAACATTATGTCCACACAGAAACCTGTACACAAATGTTCATAACACTTTGTTTCTAATAGCCAAAAACTGGAAACAACTGAAGTGCCTTACAATGGGTGAACAGTGAAACAAACTTTGGTACATCCAAAACACAGAATACCATTCAGCAACAAAAAAATAAGCTATTTACACATACTACAATCTAAATAAATCTCTAAAGAAGTGTGCTGAGTGAAAAGTGCCAGTCTAAAGAGAATAAAATACTGTATGATTCCATTTATACTGCATTCTTGAATTGACAAATTACAGAAAAGGGAAAGCAATTAGTGGTTGCCAGAGGTTAAGTAAGGGGTAAGAAAGGAAGAAAAGTAACTATAAAAAGGCAACCATGAGAGATTATTATGTAAGTGGAAATATTCTGTTTTGACTGAATTAGTGTCAATATCCTAGTTGTAACAACTCATTACTGCACGGTACTATCTTTGCAATCTTCTGTAAATCTTTATTTCAAAATAAAAACACCTACCTATCAACATACACAAAAGTCAACTCTAAATAAACTGAAGACCTAAATGTAAAACCTCAAACTGTAAGACCTTAGAAAATTCAGGAGACACCCTTATGGAAATTGGAACTGGCAACCAATTCCTGATCAAAACCCCAAGTGCCCATGCCACAAGAGATAAGATAGACAAGTAGATCTCATCAAACTGAAAAGCTTCTGTAAAGCAAAAGACACCATCAAGAGAGTGGGGAGACAGCCCACAGAGTAGGAAAAAACATTTTGCCAACTGTATATCCGACAAAGGCCTAACATCCAGGATCTACAAGGAACTTAAATGTACCGAAAGGAAGAAAACAAACAGTACCATTAAAAAGTGGGTAAAAGACATGAATAGATACTTCTCAAAAGAAGACATACAGACAGCCAACAGACACATGAAAGAGTGCTCAGCCTCACTAATCAGAGAAATGCAAATCAAAACCACACTGAGATATCACCTAACCCCACTAAGAATGGCTATCGTTAATAAAACAACAACAGTAGCTGCTGGCAAGGATGGGGAGAAAAAAGGAATGCTTCTACACTGCTGGTGGGAATGCAAACTAGTGCAACTTCTTTGGAAAACAGTGTGATGATTTCTAAAAGAAATAAACAATAATAAAAGAATAAATAATAGGCTATAAATAAGAGGAAAGGGCAAAAAATGAAAGTCTTCTTTCCCTGCTACCCCTGTAATCCTTTTATTTTATTTTTAATACAGCAATCACTTAAAAATCATACTTGCTTTTATTTAGTAAGCTCTTTCCATATCAGCAGACATAGAACAATTTAATTCTTCATAACATCTGACTATTACCCCACCGACTGGATGTTTAATAATCTAACCAGTTTGCTTTTTGATGGAGCCTTTGTTGTTTCCAGTTTTTTACTAATACAGACAATGCTGAAATAAATATCTATCTCTCCCTTCTCTTTCTCACTTTTTATACATGCATATATCTTGATCGTGTGTGTGTGTGTAAAGTTTTGTGACTATAGTCATAACAGCATATTCTCAGCAGGGGACTTACAGAGTCAAAAAAGAACTCTCATTTCTTTCTTTCTTTTTTTTTTTTAATTGAGTTAGAGTCTCACTCTGTCGCCCAGACTGGAGTGCAGTGGCCGCTCCCGGCCACTGCAGCCTTGACCTGCTGGGCTCCGGCGATCCTTCCGCCTCAGCCTTCCAAGTAGCCGGAATTACAGGCATGCGCTACCACGCCCGGCTGCTTTTTTGATTTATTGTAGAGATGAGGTCTCACTGCCCAGGTGGGTCTCGAACCCGCGGGCTCAGGCAATCCACTCACCTCAGCCTCCCAAAGGTGCGGGATTACAGACTGAGCCACCGAGCCCGACTTTCTCATTTCTTTTTGGGGGCAATACTGCCAAACTATCCACAAGACAGACTGTACCCATTCACATCCCTACCAATAATGTGATCGTATCAAAATCTGTCAATATGTTTGGAGGCTATAGTAATTTCATTCTAACTTGCATCAGAATGAGATTCCTATTTTGAGCAAAGTTTATTATGGTTACCACCACTTCTATTTCCTTTTATGAAAGTTGCCCATTTTTATCCTATTCCCTCTTCCTACTAGACACTCACTCACTTTTTGTACTGATCTGTATACAAACATTATAAATAATTAGCTCCATCACGTCTTGCAAATATACTCTACCAGTTTGTCTTTGATAATTCAAGTCCTTTTATAATATCTTCTTCCTAACTATACATTTTTCATTTTTACAGTCAAATTTATCAGTCATTTCCTAAATGGCATTCGATTCTGTATTCTCTTTAAAAGTCCTTTTCTAATTCTAGATAAGTACTGGCTAAAGCTCAAAACTGGGTAATACTGATCACTATAGAACAGTACCAATTAGTTACTAAGAGAATAAAAAATGTTTTATTTAAAGGAAGTACATATAAAACAGGAGCTATTAAAAATTTTATTCAATGTTATAATCATCAAATAAATGCTACAAATAATTCAGAAATAAAATGCATGATGCATACTAAAGAAAAAGCCATCTGCTGACTTTTTCTTAATTACTTAACCAAGAGTATCAAATAAGCAGTGGTAAGGTAAATGTTATAACTCCAAAAACACCCTGATGATTTTAACCCCATAACTCATTAGAAGTCTATCTCTTATTTTTTACATAAATTTATTATTTTATTTTAAAGCTGAAATATAAAGCAAAAATGCTAGTTTTATCATAGTTAAGTAACATAAAACAATGTTTCACAAAATAATTTTAGTTCTTTATTTTGGTATACCATTCTGCTGTAAAAGATCAAAAATGTTTCTGGGCCAAAGGAAACAATAGTTATGCAATCAGGAACAATGAGCAAAGGTAAGAGACTGTTTGTAACTCCTATACTTATCATCATGATCAGCGTCTAATGAATAGTTATGCCCAGCTACACTTCCTTACAACATCTGATAAATCCACTTACCCACTGTAACCATAGGTAGTTCCATTTGATGTATTCTTTAATTACATATAAAGAAATACATTTAACAAAGAAATATAATCAACCCTTCTTTAAACTAAACAAAAAAAAAAGCACAGAAAAGTACTGACCATGGTTCTTGTTGCTATTATTTCTAAAATGACAATTTCTTAAATGAAACTCAAATGCATGCACAGGTAAGGCTGTATTTTAATGGCACCATCAGTAAATTAGTAATAGTACCACATTTTAAAATAAAGTATACAGATTTAATACCTGGCATATTTCCCAAGGAAAATCAATATGACATGGCACCATTCTAATTTTAAAAGTAAAATTATAACTTTCAAAGGTAGTTAAAAATACTTTCTACGTAATAGAAAGCATCTGGCAATATAAAGCTAAAAATGCATCTGTAAAATAATTTTAATAGTGAATTCACAATAACAGGGTTAGTATTTTTCTGTGAAAGACTGGTAAACAACTCAACTATGCTATGTTTTTCCTAATGAAGACAGCTAATTTAAATTGTTTATATCAAAGTTAAATCTACTTACAAGTGAGTCCGCATCTGGACATTCCCTATTAAAACAAACAAAATATTAGAAATATTCAACTATTAGAACTGTCTGCTAATTATACTATATTTAAAGTGTTTACCTTGGTATATAAACTCTACAAAAAATATTTAGAGAAATCAAATCATGCAGATTAAAATATATCAAATTATTTTAAAGTCAAAAGAAGGCATTCCTATACCCATACTAGCTGACAAAATAAAACAGTTTATAAGTATTCTAAAAATTATTTTTGAAAGTACTTCTTTTACATGAATATACTTGTACGTGATACCAAAGAAGTTGGTATCACTCCTACAAGGCTTTCTAATGGCTCTTCATTCAACAAGTAGGAAAGTTTTTTAAAAATTCCCTTAAAGAAGAAAGTTTGGCTTTATGTAAGTCTATATTAAATGGCAAGTCATCTGAGAACGTAATACCAGTGGAAAAATTTATATTTATTTGTAAATAACATTTCTTTACTTATTTAGTTTTTTTTTTTCTCGAGGTCTCAGTCTGTCACCCAGGCTGGAGTGCAGTGGCACAATCACGGTTTGCTGCATCCTTGGCCTCCTGGGCTCTGACAATCCTTCTGTCTCAGCCTCCCGAGTAGCTGTCACTACAGGCATGTGCTACCACACCTCAGTTAAATTTTCTTAATATTTGTCGAGATGAGGTTTCACTATATTGCCCAGGCTCATCTCAAACTCCTGTGCTCAAGCAATCCTCTCATCTTGGCCTCCCAAAAGTGTTGAGATTACAGGCATAAGCCACTGCATCCAGCCTAAATAACATTTTTAAATAAAAACTTTTAAACACTTCAGTATCATTTGAAATACCTTCCATGTCTTAGTAGATACAGAAGTAAAACTAGTTTTCTCCAAATATACTAAATAAGTAGATTTCCAGTTGGAATAACTTCCTAGTCTAATGTAATATGTAGTTGAGAACTGCAATTCTATCACTTAACTGATAAAAATTGAATCTGCATATAAAACTAGTGAAAACTGTTATTCTGAATTTTAAAACTAAAACATAGATAAGCTCTAAATACATAAAATTAAGGACACTGAGGTCATAATAAATAAGATTAGAAGAATCTCTACGTATACACTCTAAAACAAACTCACAAACAAAAGTTAGATTGCAGATTTAAAAGGTGTTTGGACTTTTGACTTGAGATAGTTAATGCATACAATACAGGTTGAACATCCCTAATACAAAAATCCACAGGCCGAAATGCTTCAAAATCTGAAATTTTTCTAGCACTAACAGGATGCTAAAGAAAAAAAAAAAAAATGCTCATTGGAGCATTTCAGATTTCAAATTTGGGGGTTAGGGATGCTCTAGATGTATTTTACATTAGGGATGCAAATGGATGTATTCTGTAAATATTTTAAAATCTGAAAAAATTTGAAATCGAAACATTTCTGGTCCCAAGCAAGGACATTCAATCTGTATCAGAATTTTATAGAAGCAGGTTAATCAGCCAGGTACAGTGGCTCACACCTATAATCCCAGCACTTTGGGAGGTGGAGGCGAGAGAACTGCCTGAGTTCAGGGGTTCAAAACCAGCCTCAGCAACTTGATGAGACCTTGTCTCTACAATAAATCAAAATATTGGGCCGGGCTTGGTGGCTCAGCCTGTAATCCCAACGCTTTGGGAGGCCAAGGTGAGTGGATTGCCTGAGCCCGCGGGTTTGAGACCCGTCCCGGCAACTTGGCGAGAACTCATCTCTACAATAAATCAAAAAATTAGCTGGGCATGGTAGCGCGTGCTGCAGTTCCAGCTACTTGGAAGGTTGAGGTGGAAGGATCGCCGGAGCCCAGCAGGTCGAGGCTGCAGTGGCCAGGAGCGGCCACTGCCCTCCAGTCTGGGCCTAGACAGAGTGAGACTCCAACTCAAAACAAAACAAAACAAAACAAAAAACTCTCTCTACTCAAAAACTAAGAACAAATCAGAAAAATCTACAAATTGAAGAGTTTTCTTAAAGGAAGACAGGATAAAAGGGGGGAGATAACTACATTGCTTTCAATTCAAATAAAAGTACCAACAAGATTGGGTAACCATAAACCCTATGCATCTCTATGACCACTTAAAATTGCAAGTTTTGAAATACAGTTTCCTTATCAGCAGATGAGAAATAGCATACTAAAAAAAAGTATGCATACTCTGAGGAAATATCCCAGAAAAGACATAATAATAATAAATTCAATCTTTCTAGAGAATCAAATCAATCAAGATGTTAGAACATTTCCACATTTTTCTTACCAAAAAAAAAAAAAAGACACAATTTAAACAGTTAAAGTTCCAAACAGTTTATTCTCTGGCTTTAAGTCTTTGTGGTGAAACACTCAGTCTCCCCTTCCCAGTGGGCTATTTGAGATCTGTGCACGAAGCTCCAGAAACAGAAGCTCTGAGCAAGCAGGACCTGTCTTCCATAATTACTGACATCTCAAAAGCCTCAGGCCATGAAGAAGAGGCATGCCAACAGCCTCTGGCACTTCAAACAAAGTGAATTCTAACATTTTTCCTGCCAAGAAGTCTGAAAGAAGGTGATGATGGTACAATGGTTTAAACTTAGCTTTTTGCTCTAGTATTCTCACTGGTTAAAAACAATCATTCCAAGTGGCTTAATGATTATATTGGGAAATTGACGATTTTGAAACCATCTTAAAAACATAGCATATAAAAATATTACATGCTCCTTGTATGAACAGTAGTGAAAACTATAGATTATAACATATTTTAATTTAAGCCCATCATTCTTTACTGGCTACGTTTTAAAAACTTACTAGCGAGTCAAATTAGACTTCTATATGCATTTCTAATATTATAAAAAGAGATTAGATTCCACTCCCTTAGCAAAATATCCCTTCAGAAATAATCAAGAAAGACATTTGCAGAAGAGATGATAACTATAGACACAAATCATTTGGCAACTGCTCTTAATTTGTTAGCCAAATACCACTTGGGCGGGGAAAAGAGACAATCAGAATGGAAGAAACTCAAACAGAAATATATAGGTATGAGGCAAGAATACCCAAAGCACAAATTGTCTTCTTATGATGAAAATATGAGTGCCCATCAAAATATTAAGTCTCATGACAGTTCTGCTGATAATACTAGAAGTAGGGTTTTTTAACTAATGTTCAGTCAGTATTACTGGGTCAACACATATTATTGGGTCAACAAATCACTAGACTTTGATTAGTGAGTAATCACGGAAAGATTTCTTTAATTCTAGTTTGTCTGAATAATCATGGCTCAATGATTCTCAACCTTGGGTATATATTAGGAATCAAACAGGCTGCTTAGAACTAAGCAAAACCAAAAAGCTATGCTGGGGTCTCACACAAGAGAATCTGATTTAATTGGTCTGAGGACTGGCATTGGTATATTTCTATTAATTTCCTGGGTAGTTGCAATGTTGCAAAGTAAAAACTTATTTTAGCTAAATTGCTAGCTCAATTTCTTATATGCTTAATATATATAGTCTTTGTACATTAATTTCTTACTTTTTAAAAAAGGAAAATCGGACTTAAAATGGACCAAATACTTCATCTAAAAATAATAATTTGGTATAAATGATAAGACATGCTAGGGCTTTCCCTCCCCCCCATTTAGCATTTAACATATGCTGTATGTATACATCACTATGTGCCTATAATACATCACTATGTGCTTAGAATTGTCTAGAAGGATTTTCACCAAACAGTTGACCAAAGGTTTTCTCTTAGATACAGTATTCTCTGTACTTCTGTTCAACTTTTAAAAATATGGTGTATCATTTTATAAAAATGAGGACACTTCAAAAATTTCCATTTCAAGACATTAAAGCTTTCATCTACTAAGTTAGGTCTTAAAATTTTTACATAATTAATAATTTTAATACTTTGAACTAAAACCAGAGGAACTGGCAAAGTATTTGTTTAGAAAGGTTTGTGGTTTTCATACCTTAGATGTATATTTAGTTATTTCCAAGATTTTTTCTTTCTAAATTCAAAAAAGTCTTATTCTTAATCACTTAAAAAAATGAAAAGGATTTTGACAATATTTAAAATACTTACACAGATTCTGCATCCTTTTCCTTTTTAATTATTCCTGGCAAAGCAAAAGTCTTTCTTTTCCTTGGTTTTATGCCTTTAAGATAAATATATATTGTTATAAAAACATAGCTGTTCCTGGTAAATATATTAAATCTGGGAAAACTGCTGATGCTAAATTGGAATGAAATAAATAATAAATCAACCTCTACACCCTAGTATTTAAATCACAGTCACAGTATTTTATATTTTTCTTATAGTATTATTATGTAGTCTATTATTTACCAAAAAATTACAGAACATTTACTTGATGAAATTTTCTCTTCTTCTATACCTCCCGTAAGTCGCCTTATGCAAAATAAGCAGATGGAGACATCTTAAAACTTCAAAGAAAGTACAATAATCATCAAATTAGATTGTGTTAGAAATATAGATCAAATCATGTTTTCTTTTTAAAGGGTCACAAAATTCTAAGTGTATTATTTTAAATAAAAAGATGACACAACAGACCCATCAGAAGCACAACATGAAAAGTCTGTAATACAGCACTCTTGTGTTCACGTTATCCCTAATACAAACAATAAATGAATCCTACCATAACAATAGGCAAAAATCATCTTTGTTTTTTCCTAATATAGCAGTTATTCATCCTATTCTTACATGACAGATTATTTTTAAAGGTCGGTCCTGCTATTAATTGTTGATGGAATTCAGCACTTCCATTTATTCTTTGAGAAGTAAGCAGGAGAGAGAGGTCACCTAAGCAAACCCCTCATGCAGGTGTTATGTTTTTATTTTTTTTAACTCAGTGTTATACAGCTAAAACAAGAATCCAAATGTCAAACAGCAATGTACTTGATATCATGCGGAGCTAACTATACCACACATTTGTACAGCATGTTATGATGCTTTAAAATCAACTACATTTTTCTTCTCACTGTACTATTTATTATCCTCACTTTACAATAAAGAAAGTTAAAGTTCAGAGAACTTAAATAATTATTGCTCTCAGACAGCTAGTGAATATAAGAGGTCTAAGCCCCAGGGCTACTACAATAAAATCATAAATAATACACCTAATAAACCATTAACAAACTTAACATACCATAACAAACCATTTCTCCAGATTCTTACATAGGGATCAGAAAAACAGAAGATTGTTTTAAAATTATTTCTAGTAGCTCAAAAAGTGAGATCTATAAAAAACATGAACAAAAACAGAAGGCATCTCTTGGGCTTCATCTTACAGAAAACACCTACTTAAATAGGAGTCGGGTTGGTTGTAGTCCCTCCCTCCAAGTCAAATCAACACCAATTTAAAAATATTAACATTAATGCATAACTTCATTCATTAATAAATGCTATCCACTGTCAAAGAAGCCCTATACATTAACGTGTAATAAGTTTCCTTTTTTAACATTATTTTTAATCACTGCTATTTCTTCAGAGACAAGGTCTAGCACTGTCCCCCAGGCTGGAGTGCCAGAGTGCAATCACGGCTCACTGCAGTCTTGAACTCCTAGGTCCAAGCGGTCCTCCCACCCCAGCCTCTCCAACAGCTGGGACTCCAGGTACACATCTCCATCACATTCGGCTGGAGTTTTGAGTTTTATATTCATGGCATTAGAAGGCTTAAAGATATATGTCAATGAAGAAAATAATCTCAATATATATTTTAAAACAAATACATGTTATATTTAATCTTTTAAAATCTTTCCAGGCCTATGCCTGTAATTCCAGCACTTTGGGAGGCTGAGGCAGGAGAATCTCTTACACTTAGGAGTTCAGCCTGGGCAACATAGTGAGACCTTATCTCTACAAAAAATAAAAACACTAGCTGGGCACAGTGGCATGCACTTGTAGTCCCAGCTACTTGGGAGCATGAGGCAGAAGGATCACCTGAGCCCAGGAGATCAAGGCTGCAGGGAGCCATGATTGTGCCACTGCACTCCAGCCTGAGTGATAAAAGGAGACTCCGACTCAAAAAAAAAAAAAATGTATCTAACATACTAATATTCTTTTGGGCAAATCTGCTGTTTCTTCATTAAGTAACAATTAGCATCCATAGGCTTTTAAACTACTTTCAGATTTTTACATTACTCCACAGGTATTCTTACCCTTGTGGATAGCAGTCCCTCCTTATTTGTTCAATGAACAGAAGATACTAGCTAGTTGCCACGTGCATTAACCTATTACAGCTAGTCAACTTACCTTCAACTGCACTAGCAGGGTCACATTCTTCAAATTCAATAAGGCCTGGAAAAAAAAAAAACAACTTCTAGTAGAAAATATTATCAAATGAATCCAAGTATAATGCATCATTTTTAATTTTTAAAGTTTTTCATTTTTTAATTGACAATCTTTTTAATTGTTATGAAGTATGTTCTAGTGTTATCTGATAGTTAATTCAAGTGTCAGCAATAATTTTTAAAAATCAAATAATTCTAATAACAAAAAATAATTGAGACTAGCCCATTATGATCACAGTAATTCACTGAAAACTTTCTATGTGATACCACCTGGGGACAGAGATCTAACACACAGTTCCTGCTTTCAAGGAGCTTGTGTCAGTTGATAAGAGAAAACAAGCAGAGGAAAAGGTGGTGGCTGAATCTGTGGCTGTGCTCATGAGAAAGATTGGGGACCTCAACAGTGCACATGACTAGGATGAAAGGCTGGGACCACGTCTGTCTGTTCACCTCTGTATCCTCAATCCCTAGAAAATGCTGGGCAAATCGTAAGTCTTCAGAAGATATGCACTGGGTGAATAAATGAGTTAATTACATACTAGTTAAGTGATGGTCCTGGGATTATAACCCGATCTCTCTAACTGCATAACGGGTCAAGGAATGAGAACTGCAGTTTACAGGAAACAGGAAGAGTTTTTACGTGAGACAATCATATGTGCATATACCCACAAAGTGGGCTTGTAGGAAAATTAATTTAGCACTACTAGGAGGGACAGACAGCAAAGGATGATAAAGTGGAAATCAGCTAGGAAACAATTACAATAGCACTGAAATGACAGTGAAATGATGAGACGGTGAAATGATGAGACTAGCCTTAAATGCCATAAAATATAGTACACTTCAAATATGTGAAATATCAAATAATTTGGGTATAGAAAAAGTAGCAAAAACATTAATTCCTCTCCTATTGAAATATCCCAAAAGCTAAATATCAGACTGAAAAAATTCTCTCCCATTAAACTGAAATTTTAGTCCTCTTTTATAATGTATAAATTTATGAAATTTATAACTTGCCATATCAAGAAATTTTAAAATAGAGCTTGAAGAGTGGATGATAGAGGATTTCATTATTATTTCTGAGATATTAAGCTTTACAACTATGTGAAAATTCACAATCAGCATTCTTATTGATAATTCTGTCATAAAAGAAAACCACTGATTAACAACAAAGAGTTCTCTACAAGTAGAAAGACCTAAAAATATAGGCTAAATGCCTCCTCCTTTCCCCTAAATCTAAGATTTACTTCTCTTTGGTCCTAGTTTCCATTCAGATAAAATAGATTAACATTTAGTGATAAGCAGGATAACCAAAATAGTCATAAAAGTTGATAAACAAGGTCCTAATTGAGTATTAATAACTTACTTAGCATTTTTCTATATATAGTATATAACTAAGAAAAAAATGTTTTTCAATTCTACCCCAAAAGTCTTAAAGAGTCAGAAAATGACCCAATTAAAAATTTAAGGACTTTAATCAAGCCCACTCTAAAAATCTGGAAACTGAGAAATCATTCAATGAAAGAGTATTAACTATGTTCTGGGAATTCCCTAGAGGCCTAAGGTAACAATTTACAATGAGATAAAGACAGATTGAAAGATCAATAAAGGCAAAAATTTTAGGTATGTGTACCTCATAAGTAGCAACTTTTTAGTTGACATAAAATGTACGAAACATGAAAAATCTCTACCTAAATTATCAATAGTTTATTATATGTTACTGGCTTTTCCAAGTATTATTAAGCTTAAGAAAATATAACCATCTGTCAAATAATTCTGAGAAAGGGTTTACAAAAAAAGGCAATAAGAAAGGTGGTTAGTCAAAAATTCTCCTTCAGCTACACAGCACATACCTTGTACCCATTTACAGAATCTCTAATATTCTAGAGAGGGGCAATAAGGAAAAAAATTAAAACAAAACACCAATGCCAAACAAACTGCATTGTTTATAACTATTTAAAGATACATTATCTAGAAGGACTTTTACATCATCTTAGCAAATATAGCATATACAGAAAAAAATCATTTAAGGTCTTTGGATGACTTCACATAAGTTAAAACAGTAAAGACACCCCTTAACTCTATAAAATCAATCCCTACAAACAAGATTCCGCATTTTTTCCTCACAAAATCCTTTTTCCTATACTAGACATATCTTGACTTCTTTACCTTTTCTAAACATCCTCTTAAAATCAATTTGAAATAGAAAAATGTTCAATGAGAATATTCAAAGTAAAAAACATGTTGAAATATAAAATGCCAAATCACTTCAAATCATATAATACATATTGAAAATCTAAATTAAATAACATCCGCTGAATTTTTCTCTTAAAGACAGAAATAACAGCCTCTGGTATAATAAAACTAAATATACCCTTTTAAAAAAACTCCATTAAGTCATGCATGAAAAAGATTTTCTTGTCCAAATGGCATATGCTCCGCATGCTGCTGCACATGGCAAGGCTTTGCGTGCCTGGCTCAGTGCCAGTTGACAGCTCAGCTGGATGTCGATGCACATTCTGACCCCCCTTGCAGCATGTCACTTCTGAACTGGTTCACAAGTGGAAAGTTGATTCAGCATCTCCTTCAGATGCAGTCCACTGCCCATCATTCTGCTATTTAATCCTAAGACAAGTGATTTTTTTTGACAGTGCTAAAGCCAGAGTGAGAGTCTTAATGAATAGTTTGCTGCAACTGGAATTTCAACTGTTTTAGACTCAATTAATTCTTTTGTCAAAATAAATAACTGCTCTTAGCACTTAGATTTTATGCTGGGTCACAAGGGCAATTTAGTTTGTATAAAAGCAAATAAAACCATTTTGGCTCTGTCTCCTGATGCTCTTTTACACATTATTTTAAAACGCCACTATGAGTTCAACTCTAAGAGGTCAATGATTCAAACCAAAACAATTCTTAAATATGATGCTTTAATCATCAGGTAGGAATAGATTTCTACCATAAAAAAAAAAAAAAGCCATCAACCAAAAGATTTCATTCAAACCTAATTTGGATCAAAACTTTTAAGAAATGTTATAGGAGGAAAAGCAACTTGCTTAACAGTAATCTTTAATCACCACAAATGTTTTGTGGAATGAGAGTATAAAAATGTGACATATTTAATTAGTAAGTTCTCACTGCTTTGGAATGAATCCTAAATCTTAGGCCACAAACAGGGCAAACTTGCAACTCTGTCTAGTTAAAAACTGGCCTCAAAACTCAAATAATAAGTCTGAACTTTATCCAGATCCAGTGTATTTCTGCATATTCCCAACTAAAACCAAAGAACAGTTGATTCTAATTAAAGCCGAGGTAAAACATGCAAACACACCCAGACATACACTACAAGTCTGACAATGAAGGGTAAGGGTGTGTGTGTGTGTGTGTGTTTGTGTGTGTGTGTGTGTGTAGAAGTGTGACTCACAACAATGGAAGTCAATGACTACATTTTCAAGCTTGCTCCTGGGCCTGTGGAATGCAGCACAGCCACATTCCCCAATGCCTGGGATGAGGAGCCAGGCAAGTGCACACAAAACAGAGTCAAACTCCAGCTTGTGGTGATACGCAAAGGTCGTGGGAGGCACAAGTGCTAGTTTTGCCACTTGCTTGCTAGTTGATTACCTCGGACTATGACTTACTCTTTTTGAAACTAGGTTGTATAATTTATGAAAGGGGACGATAACAAATACGACCTTTTGCCACATCTGTTTTCTCTCTCTCTCTTCACATAGCCATACACACAGTTTTTTCTTTTGCTAAGCCGTTTTAAAGTTGTAGTTATCAATGACACTTCACATTAGGAGTATTTATTTTAACAAAAGACTTGCAGAAACAATTTTCTCATTTTATTGGTTCCAAACCCCAACTAATCATCAGAAACTCCTAGAGCAATGCTTCTCAAACTGTAACGTATCAGAATCACCTGGAGAGCCCGTAAAACCACAGACTGCTGGGCCTCACTCCTATAGTGTCCTGTTTGGAAGGTCTAGGGTGGAGCTCAAACATTTGCATTTTTAACAAATTCCCAGGTTATGCCACTGGTCCTGGCATCGCACTTTGAAAACTATAGTACTCGTGCACAGAAATTATACTGTGCATAGAAATCATCTGGGGATCTTATTAAAGTACAGATTCTGTCAGGCACGGTGGCTGACGTCTATAATCCCAGTACTTTGGGAGGTCAAGGCAGGAGGATTTCTTGAGCCCAGGAGTTTGAGACCAGTCTAGGCAACATTGCAAGACCCTATTTGTACCAAAAAAATTAGCCAAGCATGGTGGTGTGTACCTGTAATCCTAGCAACTTGGAAGGTTGAGGCAGTGAGGCAGAAAGATAGCCTGAGCCCAGGAAGTTGAAGCTGCAATGAGCAGAGATCAAGTCACTGTACTCCAGCCTAGGCAACAAAGTGAAACCTCAACTCAAACAAAAAGAAAGAAAAACAAACAAACAAACAGATTCTTATTCAGGAGGGCTGGCATAGTTAGGGCTTGAGATTCTCCATTTATAACAAGCAACCATATAGTGTGATGCTACAGGTTCTCCACAATGGCTGCACATTGGAAGCTGAGGCGTTTTAAAATACTGTGGTACCCATCCTAGACCAATGAAATCAGCATTTGTATATATTTTTGAAAAGAAAATAAGAGAAATGGAAATAAAAAATCTCCACCAATGATTCTCATATGTACCCAAGGCTTGAAAACCAGGAGGCACACTGAGAAGCTATGGTCTTGAAGGAACAAGATTTTAACACGGATTTCGGTCACCGGAAATAAACCTTCCAAATTTTCATCAAGTCTTCCAAACACAGAATCTTAGCACTGAAGCACAGTCTCCTCCTCCACCCGAATTCTGACCCAGTCCCCACACTCCGAGATAGTCACGTTTTCACTCTCTGTGATCCTCAAAAAAAACCCCTTGTTTCTACCTGTAAGTCCCTGCCCCATATCAGGAAGTGGCAACTCTATCCTTTCAGTTACTCAGGCCAAACTCTATGCATTTAAACGGCATAATCT